CCAAAAAACAAACCAAAAAAAACCCTGAAAAGAAAACAAAAAATTCCTATTTGGGGATGGCTCACTTGGTTGGAGCATGGTCCTGATAATGCCAAGGTCAAGGGTTTGGATCTCCTTACTGACTAGCCACCAAAAAACAAACCAAAAAAAACCCTGAAAAGAAAACAAAAAATTCCTATTTGTACAAAAGCAACTTTTCAAAATAAAATCCAATACCTACTTGTCTCCCACAATTCCCAAGTTGATTGTGGGGTAACCATGTTCCTGAATTGTTGCTAGAAGGGTTGAACGATTGCTATCTCGAATCTTTCCTGGTAAGAGGTCATCTTCGGGATTTAGCAGCTACAAAGCCAAAAAACCACCACAAATTATTCTTTTAGGATAATGTTGCCTATTGATAATGGAAAAAAAAAATAGCTCTACTAAACAGAGTTTAGCATATCTAGCTCCTACAACAGTATCTAGCATGTAGAAGGTATATGTTCAAAATATCTTTGAAAAAAAAAAGTGTAGGAGGATGAGAAATGTTCCTATACAAGTCAAAAAACATGCAGAAATTCCAATGGTGATTAAACAGCAGGCCAGATATCATACCAGCTTTGGCTCCAATTTGACAATAATGCTCTGCAGATACTGGGCTTTCCCAGTAATTAGTTACTGACCTAAACTGAATAAAACGATTAGTATCTTTTTTCCTGCCAATATTATGCATTTTCCAGTTTGTCTTTCACTGGGAACACTGAGATAGAGCCTGCTTGACATGATATTCTCAAGTCTGAAGAGACCAATTGTTTATCTTTTCTTTCAAGATTTTCGATTTCTTTTCTGAAGTAGGATCAACAGAAGAAGTTGAACTTATCTGAAGGAGAGGAAGATATATTTTATCTCTCATACTAGCAAACCTTAAACAAGTAAAACTTAGCTACACATACCCACAATTCTATTACTCTGAATTGAATTGACCTTCAGAGATTTAATATCTACTATTATTATATCTATGGAAAAAATTAGAAGAAACATTCTATTTTAACGTGTTCCAATGAGGCAGTCAGAGCGTATAATATAAAGAGTCAGATTCAGACAGGATTCAGACAGGGTTCAAATTCAAGTTACCCAAACTCTGTCTTAGTTTTTTCCCTTATAAAATATAGTAATAATAACTACCTTACAAAGTAGTTGTTAGGACTGGGGTAATGAATGCTCAGTTTATGTAGATGGATATACAATAAATGTGATTCTCTTTCCTTTTTAAATGAAGTGTGATGTTGAAAAAACACCTACTTTTCTCTCAATTATTTTCATATTCTTACGCTTAGATGCTAGTACAGATGGAATTAGTTTATAATGTGAATACAGACTATTAGGTTATGAACTACTTAAAAGTAGGAGATCCTTAACACAGATATACATAAGATACAACTTTAATTTATACATCAGTTTTAAGATACTTTGATTTCAGCTTAGATGCTAGTACAGATGGAATTAGTTTATAATGTGAATACAGACTATTAGGTTATGAACTACTTAAAAGTAGGAGATCCTTAACACAGATATACATAAGATACAACTTTAATTTATACATCAGTTTTAAGATACTTTGATTTCAGAAATATTATAAAGTAAAAAAACCACATTTCTTTGAAGAGAGATCTGGAATATTACTTTAGGAGGTCAAAGATAATTCTGCACATTTCAGATGCTTAGGCTATTAATATCACCAATATCCAGGGCTTCATTTCTCAGTTCTCCCAAACCACAAGACCCTTTAATCTTCCTTCTGACTCATTAGTAATACTATATGGCCAGACTTTTGGCTTCATGTTAGAAATGTAGTGGCTTTGCAACCAACTGTCCCCTTACAATAGGCTGGAGAAAAACATGACCATCCTATTCAGTGTCACCTGGGAATCTTCCCTTCAAATACTGCAAATTTAACTTAATCAGATGCCATGTGACATTCCAACCCACTTTCATTCTTAGTCACTAGCAGTGCTTAGAAAATTGCTGTTGCAATGCTAATGTAGATTATTTTTCTGATCTTAACACACAGTTATTGAAGTCATTATAATTTTATAAAGGCCAAGGCTTGCAGCTCTTTAACTCCATTAATCAGACAAGTTGCTTCAGAAAGAAAACTGTGTGGTTATATAATTTTTTTTTTTTTTTTTCCCAGCAAGGTGCTTGCAGCTCTTTAACTCCATTAATCAGACAAGTTGCTTCAGAAAGAAAACTGTGTGGTTATATAATTTTTTTTTTTTTTTTTCACAGCAAGGTACTGACCACCAACTAAGTAAGATTCCCCTGTTATTAGGGTGTTTTCTTTGCTATTCATGTTCCTCTTTGTTATTTTGCTGCAAACAGTTCCAGAAATAACAGAACAAATAGAGATCATTAGAGAACTAGTTATTTGTCTGTAAAATTGACATAGTGAAATAATAGCAAGTTAAATGAGGGTGTGGGATTTACAGAGCATCTTAAGTATTTTCAAAGAAAACATACAGAATTAAATGGAAGATTCCAAGGCTGAATACACTAGAATAAATTCATAATTTTTCCCTCTAAAACTGAATATTATTTTCTGTTATCGCATACTTCCAGTCACCTCAGGAATGATGTCTAAAACTTATTACAGTTAAAATACAAAAGAAAAAAAAATACGAAGTAAAACAAAACATAACCCATAATCTCCATACCTTGTTAACTTTCCCATTTACCACATACCAAATTTCAATTTCCTGTTTTTGGTATTATTAGTGGTGCCACTATCTTCTTAGCTTTCAAACATTTAACTTTTGATTCTTTTTTCCCCTTTGTAGTCTGGTCTCTTCCCAAAGGCCTCAATCATTAAGAATATTCTAATCCATCTCCTCCCCAACGCTACATTTTCACTCACTCTGTTACCATTTATTTCATTATGTGTGAATTTCTGCAAAAGCCTTATAATTGGCTGTTTTGCCTACAAACTTTTTCCTTCTGAGAAATAAAACAGAAACATCTACTTGCAAAATTGTACTATTACTTGCATAACAGATAAACTGTTCCAAACTACAACATGTAATCTGAACTATCCTAAGTCAAATTGTTTTTAACAGAAGCTCATTCAGATCTATATACTCCAAGATTAGTAATAGATCTGCAACATAACCAGCGCCACTTTAGACGAGCCCAAGTAGGAAATGGCCCCACCCACCTCCTCTCCTCCCCTCCCACTTCCCTTTACAAGAAGCCTCCTGACTTAAAAACAACTCTCTGGCTTCTGCATAGGCGTAGTTCTCCACCCAGTTACATCAACCTAATGGTCCCTCCCCCCGTACATTTCATGCCCAAAAGCAGATATAAACTCTCACAAACCCATTATTAGGGCTGTCGCCATTTTCTGGGCAGCCATGGGCCCTGTGCCACTCTGAGCACAGCCCAGTAGATTTCTTTCTTTAATAAAGCTTGAACAGTGCCCGGTATCTCAGCTCACTTTCTTTCAATAAGACCATGGACAAACTGATTTAACAATAACTCTTACATGGACTCATGTGCTCCAAAGATAAGGCTGATTGTATTTTACAAATTCTAACCAGTCTCTGCCTGGACCTTGCTTACTACTACCTTAAAACCACCCCATGACCAAACCCAGTCCTCAAAATCCTGTAAACACCTTTCTGTAACTTTCCCCTTTTGAGACACTTCTCAGACTCGATAGCAGAATATGCCACCCCAGAATAAGCCACATTGGCATAAACATTATTTTGAGCTGAGGACAATTAAGAAGAAACATATACAAGAAAAGCTCTATGCTTTCCCACTATTTGCCTAAAAGCAGAACATAAATTTATAAAGGTGTTTCTCCTCCCCTCTCTCAAGGAAGGACAAAATTTTAGAACCTTATCAGCCTGGAGATGGCATCAGAGGAATCCACATAACAAACTTTATTAGCTTCCCATATATTTGCTTTCCCACACATTGCCACCCCTAGAGACTCAAGGTCCTTTTCTCTTGTCTTGTCATTTCTTTAAGAATTTGCTTTTTGTCGAAGATGCTATATAAGCCATACTAGTAAGCCCCTCTCTGAGAGTTACTCATTTTTTCTTGGGTATTTATCACGTATACATGAGGTATACATGTTAATAAACTTATGTTTGTTTTTTCTTATTAATTTGTCTTTTGTTAAAAGGGTGCCAGCTAAGAATTCAGAAGGACAGAGGAAAAATTAGTTTTTCCTTCCCTATGCTGTCAAGGTGATGCTGTCCTTTGCTCAGAAATTTTAATATATCCTGCTTTGCATAATTGACAGGTTTTCCAGGTGGTCTTTGTAGGGATACCGTGGGCACTCAAGCGGGGGAGGGGGAAGGCACTCCATGGCAATATGGTGCCCTTCCGGGTTCTTCTCCGCAGTGAAAGCCCGCCAGCGACAAAACCTCAACCAGTCACAGGTCAAGGCCCACCTCCTGCCCAACCCCGTCCAATCAGCTACCGCCCTGTCCACCCCCTATCCAAACCTGGAACGCATCTCCCTATAAATATACGTGCGGTCCTTGAATAAAGTGGAACTTCTCTGGTGAACTGTCAGCCCGGGTCTCTCGTGCCTCCTTCATCCATGCGCCCTTTCATTGGTGCCAAAACCCGGGAAGGAGTTCACCCCGCGCCAGGGGACTCCTTCCTCGGACTCCTCCGCGACCCCCCCGGACTGACAGTCCGCCCTCGTCTATTTTCTCTGGTGCTGGCTTCCTTCACCCACCACCGGCTCACCCGTTAGGTAAGCCCCCTTTTTCCTTTTGTCAGGCTTGTAGATTATTTAAACCTTCACCCTAATCACATTCCCCCGGCCCCGGAGGCTAAGCCCCCATTCCTCTCTCTTTCTCTCACTCCTTTTAACCTTCCTCCTACCGGGTCCTGGACCTCTGCCGTCCGTCAAAACCCTAGCATGCTAGGTTCCTTCTGGCTCCGGGCAAATTCGCCTAAGGGAAGTGAGGGTCTAGGTGACGACCTACACCCCCTTCTCTCCGGGTTCATAATTGAATCTCTCCCTTGAGATCGGTGCGACTCATTGGGGACACCCTCTGAGTCCCGTCTTTCTCATTCAGCCAAAGGACTCATCTTTAATCCTCCTCTGACTTCTCTCCTCTAAACCCTTTTTTTTTCAGAATGGGAGCTTCTGACTCCTCACTTTGGGGCGGTTCACCCTTACAATGTCTCTTAAACAACCTCACCACTTTATCCCTCAAGCCTGACATTAAACCCAAACTCCTAACCAAATTTTACACACAAGATTGGCCTTATTATCCTCTAGATAACCAATATAAGTGGCCCCCTGAGGGCACACTCAATCCCGATATTCTCCAGGATCTCTT